ACATGTGTTTTTAGCATGATTTTGGCTTAGCTTTGTGAAGCTTTTATGCATGTTTTGGTGTGCCTGAGGTCCGATTTTGGTTGTTTGGGTCATCCATGACTTGCTTTGTATAGCTACCATGTAATCTAGCTTGTAGGCTTTGAGTATTGGATTCTCTAGCATGCTCTACTTGCATCATTTCAGTGGTTTGGCATCACTTATAATGATAGTTCAGTCCATATGGCATGCTCAAATACTTGCATTTATCACATATTTCGTGCTTTGGATAGTTTGTGTTTTATGCTCCATGTTTGGACCTTTGTGTATGCTTCCATGCTTAGACCATTTAGATGCCATCTAAGTGTGTCTTTGGCCTTATTTTGGTCTACCTCGGGACTGTTTTGAGTCCCTTTGGCTCTTTGAGGCTTGGTTGACATGGTCATGGCTTGAGCCCCTTGACTAGCCTTGAGTTTTGGACCTTGTTGCATGCCTTACTTACATGGTTTGGTTGGTTTGGCACCATCCTTAACATGATTTCAGACTTTATCAATGCTTGCCGTATGTCCATGTCCATCCCTTTTAAGTGTACTTAAAGTTGCTTCTTTATGCTTAAGTATTGGACCATGTATGCATGCATGTTTGTATGTAAATTTGCCTTCATGTTCTTAGCATTTTGGCCACTAATTTGGGCTTATTTGAGAGCTGCCCATATTAGTTTAAGACCATCCCCGCATGTTGTTGCATGCTTGCCTAGTATGTTGTCACATACTTGTTGCATGTTTAGTGAATTACATGTTGTAGCATGCTAGTTCAATTGTGCCTCATTGTGTGCTCCATCCATGACATGTTGCATGCTTAGGTTGTAATGCATTTGGCATGAATTCTCTCTTTTAGTCACTTAGCATGTTGTTACATGCTTGTATGTTGTCACATGCTTGCATGTTTGCATGCTTGTTCACATTTTCATGGTGCATACTTAGCTTCCATGTCTAGGTTGCATTGCATTGAGCATGCATCCCTTGCCTCTTGATCAACCATGATTGAGGTTGGGGGTCCCTTGGTATGTTTTGTGTTTTGTGCATTTAATATTGAAGTTGCATACTTGATTCATTTGGCCATCACGCATTGAAATGCGCGATTGGTGGCCCGAGGGTCAAGAACCATGCTCCTCTAAGTCTCAAACATGCTGAGGAGGGTGGCGGTGCATAAATTGCTTTGAAAATGCATTGCCATGCCTTGTCTGTCCTCTGTTGCAGCAAACCAGTCTTCTGCAGGAAGAAGTGGCCGGCCGACAACTTTCAGTGCCGGCTGACTATCAAAACCCAGCCGATGGTATAATTTTTGGTCGATGACCAGTTCTCCATGGCCGGTGATGTTTCCCCTTGGTCGGTGGCCTCCCATAGTGCTCAGGGAGTAGTCCAGAAGTAACCTTGAGACTTGTGCAGTCCTCAGAGGTGGAGAGAAGTGCAAACAGAGGCAGCAAGAGTATGGCGATAGATTTTCGGGCATAATCGAGCACGCGTGCATTCATCCCTCTTCTCGAGGCCTCCTTATTGCTTTTCTTAGCTTAATTGATTCGTTAGTTAGTTAAGTGTTGTAAATATTTAATTAGCTTGTAGGTTAATTAATTTGTATTATTCTTTCGGTCCCTCCAAGAGAGGGCACAATTGTGTAATAAGCGTGCGTGTGTGTGATGCATGTCTTCCAACCCCCACTTCTTTCTCCCTTTTACTTACCTGCTTTTGATGGTTAGTATTAGGGCACGTTTCAATTAGCATCCTTATGCTATGCATGTTTGCATCATTCATCTGTATTGCATGTACCGGGCTCGGCGCATCATACTAACTGCATAGTATTTCAAATTCCAAGTTGAATGCGTGTATCGAGTTGCTGCATTTCACATGCCATCCTTAGATTAGCCGAGCCCATTCTAGTTGCATTTTATATGTGATGCATTAGCCATCTTAACATGAACTTGGATCATACATTTGATTACTAACATGTTCCTTGTTTTGGCTCGGAGTACATTGTGAGTCTTTATGCTTTAGCATCTTGCATGCGTGTAAGTGTTAACATGACAGCATGCTTACCATGAGGCTATGTGCTTATATGACATAACTGTATGAATGCCTGTGGGTGAAGGTTGGATTGCTTGAATTGGGATAATTCATTGAAATCTGTGTTTTAGCCTACTTACGAGTAGCAAACTTCAAATCATTTTCCAAAACAAACGGATATGCGATGCTTTGTTCCAAATTAGGCGATCTAGTCTATACTTGTGTGTTGTGCGCATCACATAGTAAATTCTAGCTAATTAACTGGAATAAGAACACATGTTTTCAAAACAAAATATCATGTTTAGTAGTGGCCGATCTTTGATCGGGCGAGCGGGGGTGCTCATAGCTGACCTTCCCCAATCGTACCAAAGTTCCCGAACCAAGTCAACTTTGGTGATGACAGACACGTGGCCTTAGGCAACGAGTCAGGGTTTTCTAAATTCCCCCCAAAACAAAATATTTAGGTGGCGACTCTGTATCTGGCAAAGCAGTCCATGTTTGACACTTCTTTCTAAAAATCTGTTTTCCAAAACGATTTGTCGGATTTGGACTCTTTGGTGATTTATTAGTCTTGCATTACACTTTGCGAGATTAGATTAAGAACCGTGACATTTGAGTCCGAACTGTAGTGACCCCAAATGAACAAAACAGGATCTCCCTCCCGGGGGGTTCGGGGACGTCTATAATAGTTGATCAGGCGCGTGACCAGGCTCTGTGATGATTGCCTGGAATTCTGTTTTGTCAACCAACCTTTATGCCTTCCGAGGAGGTTCCGAAAAAAGTCAAGTGGTCGAGTTTTTTAGACTAAGTTTAAGACTTTGTTTTCATTTCTTGAAATCTGAACAAGTTCCTATTTATCTGTATATTGAGTTAAGTCCCATTCTGGTTTTATCTGTATAAGTGGGTGACGTAAGACTAATATATATATGACGTCCCATGTGTATATATAAAGTTTTAAATTTCTGTTCCATGTATGTCTGCATAGCTTTATGGATATTGTCTTTTGTATAATTGCTTCCGCTAGCCCCTTAATTATATGTTATTCTGTACAGAGGCCTTTGGTAATCCATGGATTACTGGCCGGTTACGACACTAAACTTGTAGGGGTGGGTTTGGGTTGTGACAGCAGTCCATATAGACCAAGTCCTCTGCCATCCCTTTTCAGCCTAATTCTGCACTGCCTACTTCTGCCAGCCTTCTTCTGCTCAGCTCAGACAGTCCATGCTCTATACCCAGCCTAACTTTGTCTATCTCAGTTCTGCCTAGCATGCCTCTGCTTCTTCGAGCTATGCACAGCCATCTGTCTTGTCTCAGCATGCTCCTCCTCCAGCTAAGTTTTCTTCTCCTCCACAAATGCCTATTAATTTTATTCCCATTGTTTTACCTTTTCACATTCCTTCTACTCTCAATACTCATTCTATGCAAACCAGATCCAAAACTCACTCTACCTATTTTTCCTCTACCCACTCTTCTTCTTCTGATTCCTCTTATTCTTCTGATATTAAGCCTCTCTTTTATAAATCTGCTCTTGATTCTCCAGTCTGGTTTCAAGCAATGCTTGATGAATACGCAGCTCTTCAACATCAAGGCACATGGACTTTTGTTTCACTTCCTCCTTCCAAGCAAGCTATAGAATGCAAATGGGATTTCAAAGTTAAGAAGAATTCTGATGGATCAATAGCCAAGCACAAAGCCAGACTTGTGGCTAACGGATTTCATCAAAAACATAGTATTGACTTCCATTATACTTTTAGTCCTGTGGCTAAACAACTAACTATTTACATTTTCTTATGTTTAGCCTTTCATCATCATTGGCCTCTCAAGCAAACATCTCTAATGCATTTTTACGAGGCAAGTTAGATGAAGAAGTTTACATGGATCAGCCTCCTAGCTTTGTTGATCCCTCTCATTCCACTCTTGTGTGCAAGCTTCACAAAGCTCTGTATGGCTTAAAACAGGCTCCTCGGGCATTGTACTGTACTTCCTCATCCTTTCTACTCTCTCAAGGATTTATTCAAAGTCGTTGTGATTCTTCTTTTTTCATACATAACACTTCTTCTTCCATTACCTTTCTTCTCATCTACGTTGATGACATTCTACTCACTAGTTCTGATCAGTCCTACATTGCTTCTTTGTTAACCCAAATACACAATGTCTTTTCCATAAAAGAATTAGGTGATATTTCCTATTTCTTAGGCATTTTTGTTCAATCCTCTGCTCAAGGCTTCTTTATCTCCCAATAGAAATATGCCTTTGAGCTCTTATTGAAGCTAGCATAGCTGACTGCAAACCGTGTGCCACTTCTACCTCATCCAAACCCTCTCTCACTGCTTCTGATTCTTTACCATTCTCCCAACATTTTCTCTATCACAGTCTTGTGGGTGCACTTTAGTATCTCACTATCACTCAGCCTGAGCTCTCATATGCTGTCAACCAAGCTTGCCAACATATGCATGCTCCTACAGTGGATCATTTTTTAGTTGTAAACGTATTTTGCATTACATTAAAGGCTCCATCTCTCATGGTCTACTATTTGTTCCTAGTTCTTTTCATTTCACAGCCTACTCTGACTCTAATTGACCTGGTGATGCCACAGATAGACGCTCAACCTCTGGTTATTGTGTATTCTTGGGCTCCAATCTCATTTCTTGGTCCTCAAAGAAACAATCTATAGTCTCTCACTCATCGACAGAGGCTGAATACAGGTCCTTAGCTCACACTGCAGCTGAGCTCACTTGGTTACAAATGCTCCTTGTAGAATTTCACATTCCTCAACCCTCTCCACTTGTTCTTTGGTGCGATAACATGTCTACCTTATCCTTAGCTGCCAATCCAGTCTTCCACAGTCGGTCTAAGCATATTGAAGTGGACTCTCATTTCATTCATAAGAAAGTTACAGGCCACAAATTGCTTCTCAAGTATGTTCCCTCTTTAGATCAATTGGCTGACATCTTTACCAAGTCCTTATCCGCTGCCAGATTTTCTTTCCTCACTTCCAAGCTTCGTGTTAGTCTTCTCCCTCTCAGCTTGAGGGGAGATGATAAGGAAGATGTCCATGGAGTGTAATATACTATAGTAGTATAATGCAATTTCCTGTAATAGCATTAGGTAGATGATTAGTTAGATGATGGTTAGTCAGTTAGAAGTATAGTTAGGTTGTTAGTTAGTTACTGTAATATAGTATAAATGCATATTGTATCTTCTCATTATGATTAATCAAGATATACAAAGCAGATTCAGTACTTCATCACTCTTACTTTCATTAGAATACACACCACTACGCAATAATACACACTAGCAAGGAACACCTTAGACTAACAACTGCTTGCATCCACACATTTTTCACACAATGAGAGAGAGAGATAGAGAGAGAGAGAGAGTCTGAACTTTTGATGTTTGACCTAGTAGAGCATACCATCACTTTGGTTGAGAAAAATGTTATGGTAGGTGGAGTTGTACATTTCAAGGAGAAGATTATATTCCAAGATTAGAAACAAAACCACAGGTATGCATGTCAACACAACAATAGGAATAACAATCCATTCCTTGAAACTTTCGCCAAACACAAGATAAACTATGGCACCAAAGGCTATCATGGTGGATAATATGGAGAGAAATAAGGTTACGAGGCCAAAAATTAATCTCCTAGGAAGGCTAACGAGAAAATCTTCTTCTCCATAGTGAGAGCTGAGGATGGACAAGAAAAACAACACAGAAGTAATGGATGAGAAAAGAGCTAATGCATCACATATGAAGAAGAGTAAGAAGATTGATTTTTTGTAAAAAATCGGATGGCCGCTACTGTCATTCCCACCGGGTACTGTAATGGCAGCTGCAAACACCACAGTGGCAATTAGAGTCGCCACAAGTGAGCATGAAGTGGCTGTGCCTCTCATCCAGTTCTCTCCTCCTTTTACCAACTCCCTGTGTGTATCAGTAAATACCTCAACAGGTGTATATTTTTCACTGTTCTTCTCTTCTTTGTTTCGAGGCACTACAAGTTTTTCTACACCCTGTTTAAATTAAATCAGGTGGTGCAAAATTAAAAGTAATAAAATGATATAATGAGCTAGTTTTTAATTTTTGAGGACAAAAACTTGTGATGAACATTTTGTTTGGAAATGTTAAAAATTTGTTACTACAAATTTTCAATTTACAACAACTTTGGATAGGTAATAGGTGGATAGCTGACATCATTTTGAATAAAAAATTTAGGACAATTTATTTTACCAAGTTGTTGTTTGGCTTGGTAGTATTTTATCCCTTATCTTTTAAAAATAGTCACATATATACCCCATATATACTTGGTAGTATTTTATTCCTTATCTTTTAAAAATAGTCGCATATATCCACATATAGTTTTGGACTAAATATATCTTTTAAAAATAGTATTTTTTTTTCTTCAAAAAAATATAGTTCTGGACTAAAATGCTACATTTACATTTTTTGTTTACAGATGGAAATTGTGCCACACGCTCTCTTTAATGAGGGGAGAAAAAATATTCTAAATTAAATTTTAATGTGTAAAGACCAAATTACCCTTCTCTTCATCTTCTACATTCAAACCCTTACCAAACTTCAAACTCCATTTTCTGCAAAATGCACACAAAAGCTACTTTTTTGGTTCTCTTATGTTATTGGTTTTTTTGATATATGTATATCTGGATTCATATATATATATATATATATTTGTGTACATCAATATGGGTGTGCTTGAAATTTGCAATTACAAAAGGTCATTAGTGAATTGGGTAGTTAGAGAAGAAGGAAGAAGGGTAGTTTAGGAATTTACAAAAAAAAAAGGATATGACGTTCATACTAACTAAAGTGCTTGCATTATATAAAACAATAGATATATGTATCAAACAAAGTTGAATTTGGCAGTGAATTTGGTTTGGCCATAGCAAACTCCCTAAAAAACGTAGTTTCCAACAAACAATGTTTAACGATTTTAATGGTGATGGTTTAGTGGTGAATTTGTAAACAAATGTTTGATGGTTTTAATGGCAATGCTCTAATGGAGAATTTGCAAAAAATGCTGAATTTTCTGGTTATATAATTTTATATCCCTGTTAACGAAGCAAGGCATTGCATGTTAATTCAAAATTACATCCTATGTGGCTATTTATAAAAGATGGGGGTGCAGTATCATCTAGCTATATAATAGGGAGGTAAAATAAATTTTGCCCAAAAATTTTCATGTATAGTATTACTCGAAAATAAATTGGTACTCATTTCATTTAATCAGTAAATGTTTGTGGCCAATGGTGTTTTAGAATGATTACCTTAAACCATTGCAATTCCCGCTGCATCTGTAGAACTGGACCAGCTTTAAGACAGAGTTGTTGCTGAGGCGCCAACTTTCCAGCCAAATGTAGAGCATTGTTCTTCAGTTTGTCTGGTTGTGTTAAAAATATAGTTTTGAACTCCCCAACTTGATGTATGAGGTTGAATACTTTTTCATGACGACACTCAATTGCTAGATGGAATATGGATTGTTCATTATCATTTTTGAGGTAAATCGCATTAGGGTATGACCTTAAAATATGTTCAACAATTTCCACAATCCCATGAGATGTTGCTTGGAATAACGCTAGCTGAAATATCTTCTTCGCTGTTGAATGATTTGAGTTTGCAATTTCATCGCAAAGGAATTCGACAAGCTTAAGTGCTTGATCATGTAACCTTTTTTTTTCCGCGATGTTTTCTTCCTTGATGTGCTTCCTACGTCGCACTGTAGTTAAAAAAACTCATGAAGACATAACAATAATAATAAGAATAAGAATAAGAATAGTCTAGCATGAACATAAAAATAGCATTCACGGACTACTTACATAAAATTGTCATAATCATCCAATGCGAAATTTTCTTTGCTGCACAACAATATACAAAAACCAAGTCAAAATGAGAGAGGACAAACAATAGTGACGAATTTAAGTCCTACCAATTGAATTTTTAGTAATAAAGTTTTGAGTACATGGCACTGTAATTAAAAAGACTCATAAAGCCGAGGACAACTACCACTACAATAATAACAATAATAATGATAATAATAATAATAATAACAGTCTAGCATGAACATAAAAATAGCATTCACCCACTCACGTAAATAAGTGATTTTTTGAATCGTCCAATGCAAAATGTTCTTCGCTGCGCAACAATATACAAAAAAACCCAGCCAAAATCAGAGAGGTCAAACAATAGTGACGAATTAAGTCCTACTAAATGACTTTTGTAGTGAAAAGGTTTTGAATACACACAGGCTTTGATATCACAAGAGGTGAGAGGTCACCCGATACGATGTTATAACAGTCAACTCAAAACTAACTAGTTATAATTGGAGGATCTTTACATTATATTAATCAAAATTGGGTGACTTAGATTAACAATGTCGTATTAAGTAGCAAAGGTTGAGCTTTTATTTTTTAATTATTATTTATTTTTTAGGTTTTGTTCAATCTTAAGTATATTTCATAGCGATGCATCTATTTGGAGGACTTCAATTTCAAACCTTGCTCATTTTATTTACTTTTCATTATCATTATTATTTTGAACTGATTCAAAACTTGCTCATTTAGATAGATTCGTAAAAAGTCATGAATTACATTGCGATCATTTAGAGAGTGTTATCTGTTATTATTATTAATTTTTTGGATCGGCAGAAGAATACAATTTTATTGATGAAACATGAAAATATTACCCCAAAAAAGACAAGGGATTTGTGCTTTCCGGTGCCAACTTAATTGAGATCGGTTCGTTCGCTGTGTTCATTGACTAAATGATCATAATTTGAATTAGGGTCTTTGGCCTACTAGTTATATAATACTATTTTGTAGTGTGAGATTATTGGTTCAAATTCTATGGAGAACTTGATATCCTTTAATTTATTTTTTCTCAATATCAAGTTGTATTGAGTAATTGTTAGGCGTAGTGGTTTCTTTGTAGTGATTGTTGGGTTGAAATATGTGTTTTCTTTGTAGTGATAGTTGGGTTAGTTGATATGCATTGTTCGACTATTATTGTTCAATTTGATATAATTATTTTTATATTTGTAATTAATCTTCTATCATTGGTCAAATTTTTTTATTGGGCTTTGACTTTTAGAAGCTAGTGACTTGGTTTTTATATCTAATTCTTTTATATTTATAAAATTTGATTATAAAATTGGAGACAATCTTTTCGGATGAAATGAGATTCACATATTTAATAAAGGATACTTACCTTATAAATTTTAATAGGTGAACTTATTGTCTAATAGGTTTTGTGATTGTTAATGACATCTTTCTTCAACACCATTATAAAAAGTCACCAGTTGTTAATTTTCAAGAATAATTTGAAATTTTATCACAAAAAATGTCACTAATTATAAGTTTTAGCGATAGTTTAAAAAAATTGTCACAAAAATGTCACTAATTTTCAACTTTCAGTGACAATTCAAAATTTTTGCAACAGAAGAATATCACAAATTATAAGTTCTAGTGACAATTTATAAATTTAAAAAAATCACATATTGTCAATTTTTAGCGACATGTAAAAAATTATTACAAAAAATTATTTTTAGTAACAATTTTACCACGGCTAGCTTACAATAAGACTTAATAGGAATTAAGTTTAACTATTAGGAATTATTGGTAGTTTAATAAATCTTATTCCATGTAAAACGATTATGCCATGAGTGCTAATATTAACACTCCATCAATTATTTTGGACCCCCCATTTTTTAGATTTTTTTAATTATAATAATAACCTCAAATGAAATTATTGAAAATGACATCAATAATTTTGGGACACTCCATCTCACAATTAAGCCATACATCCACTACATTATTAGCTAGGGTTTATAAGAGCACTCACCTCAGTTACCACCTATCAATCTTCCCCAAATCCCACCTTTAAAACCTACTCACCCTCAAAACCTTGAAAACCTTTTGGCAACAATATTTCGGCGGCAACGGTAGCAACTATTTGATTACGTACACTTCTCCAGCAATGACAATGAGTGAAAAAAAATTTGGCAACCACAACTCCATGAGATGAGAGGAGTACAACAATAAAAGCTCAGAAGAGGTTCATAACTTTGATGGTATTCTTAGCACATAAGAGATTGGCCTTATAAGGGTAAGTTTCTTGAAAAAAAAAATGACAAAAATAATAAAAACCATTTGTCATTTTTTCAAGCCTGAACTCCTGAACATATGACCGAAATTCGGGAATAAGGACCCAAATATTTTTTATTTGTTTGGGACAAGTAACCGAATATTTCTTATTTGCTCACACAGAGAACATGCACGTATAGTGAGGCCATAAATAAATTACAAAAAACCAACCAAGAAGTATGAAAGTGGATTGTATTGTGTGTGTGAAAAAAGGTAACATCTTAACCAATGGTTGGGACCTATTTCAATTGCACATTAAAGTCACCATAAAATCATTTTTTTCCAACAATCCCCCATATGTATAAAAATTGACTGAATAAAGAAAACGGGCAACGTTTACACCAAAGACTCAGAGAGAGAGCACATAGACTAACCTTGCATCAGAAAAAGTAGTTATTGGTCTTGAACCTTTCGTAGTAAAAGCCTATGGAATATACTAGCTGACCTGTGAACATGATGTCTTGAACTGTTCTGCCGTTTGTGTAAACCGAGACAATAGACCTCACACAAGAGTTAGTCATTGTTCTTGTTCGCACTGGTGTGTTTGGTATGGCCCTAAAACACTGGCCTAGTTCAGTGAGTATTTTTAAAGAATTCAGCCTTACCAATTCTTAAAGAAGCGGCCTCACTTCGCACTCACATAGGTGACCTATATAAGGTATCTCATTATACCACGGTTGATTATTCATCTCACTTAGGTTCTTAAAAGTATTGGCTTAACCTACCACTCTCACAGGGTATCACTGTACAAAGGAATGGGTAAGAGAATTTATCTATTCAGTGACTCACCCGTTACACGAAATTAGATTGTCCCTTTGAACCTAGATCTTGGGATCTCCAGTCAACTAGGTAAGGTTTTCTATTCTGGTAACATTACTAAAGGCCTTAACTTCATTCCTCTTGACAACGTTTCTACTAACTCTCGAGTTAACCCTTTGGTCAACGGATCTGCAATGTTGTCCTTAGACTTTACATAGTCTATTAGAGAGTAGTTATCATATAGAATTATGTCTATAATGGATATGTCTAAACTCTTCATTATACATAATACTCTGTACCCATCCAATCGCTGATTAGCTATCACAATGAATATAGATACCAGGCACAAGTTTCGGCCAATGTGGAATATCCTCAACGAATTAGTGAAGCTATTCATCTTTTTCAGTTGCTTTATCCAAAGAAATAAACTTAGATTCCATCATTGATTTCGATATACACGTTTGCTTGGAAGATTTCCAAGACACGATTGCCCCTCTGCATGTAAACACATAACCGCTAGTGGATTTGAAGTCCTTTATATCAGATATCTAACTAGCATTACTTGTGAGACCCCTAACTTTTGTAAACTTTATTAGGTCCCTAAATTTTGAGTTATTATAATAAAGCCCTTAATCCATTGATTATTCGCAAATTAGACCCAAGAACTAAAAACGCATCACGGACGAATCCATACAAACCCTAATCGACCATGAAAGCTTAGAAATCATTTCTAACACTCTAATATTAATTATTTAACTCTCAAATTTTAGATTAATCGCTCTAAACCTTAACTTTCGATTTTCACAGTTTTCGTTCGGTTATTTACCTTTAAAGTCAAAGCAAGATAATACAAATCGAATTATTTTTCCTAACACTAATTTATTAACTCTACACTTGAAATATATACTTTAATTGAGCCCAAGCCCTCACATTTTTATGAAATCACAAATTGACCCCAAACAAGTACCATTATATATTTATATACACACTTGTATCCCAAAATCTTTTTTTAAAACATTTTATTTTACAAATTCCAACAATTGTACACAAAAAAATAAATAAATATAAAATAAAATATAAAACAAGTCCATCAATTCACCATCACATGGCTAGCCATCACCATTGTAGGTGTAATGAATGTACTATGAGACAATTTTTCATGATTTAAGGAAGAAAAATCTTTGACTTGGTACAAACTTTTATATGCATGTATATAAGCAACTAGGTTGGTTTGATTATGAGGAAAACCCTAACTAGATCATATTTAGGAACCTAATTAAGACCTTTAACCCTCCACTATTCCATTGAATTCAAACTAAATCCAAACTATCCAATCCAATTCCAACCAAGGGGCATTTAGGAACCTTTTGCACTAAATTCATTATATAAACAACCCCTCCCCTAGCATTTTACATACAAGAACAACATTTATACACACTATATTTAGCTGAGAGAGAAGAAAGGAAGGAGGGTGAGCTTGGTAGAAGAGAGGAGAGGAAGAAAAAGTTTGCTAGGAATTCCAACAACCCTCAAGTAAGCCACAACACAACTCTCTCTTCCATTTTCCTTTTTCAAATACATGTTATTAGAAGTTTAAAATGGTATTTTTAGATGTGTTATAATGGTATTCTTGTGTCAAAAATGAAAGGAGTTGAGCCTTGATTCTACCCTTCTTCTATTTCTCTTAATCGGTATAAAACTACATTTTTCCCTATCAATCTCTCAAAATTTTCAAAGGCACACCTTCACCTTAAATATCTGAGTTCAATACATATTATTTAGCATGTTTTCATCACAAGATAAGTGGAAAATAGCTGACCTCTTTTCTCACAAACTTTCTATTTTCAAGAACTGTGCCAGAAAAATCTACTTTACAGCCACCTTGCGAAAATTGTAGAAAAATGAATAAAAATATTCTGGACCTTCATTTTATGTAAAAATCTTTCTTAAGGAGTTATCTTGCAAGGAAAATTGGTTTCATTGAAAACGAGTGAGCGGTTTGTGAGAAAATCTGATTTTTGTAACGATCAACGAATCTAGACAGAGCTGAAATATTTTTGAAATAACTACAAATCTGGAAAAGCTATTCCATTTCCGAAAAATGTTCTGAAAACTAGATAAAATTCCCTACAAACCATAGGAAGGCCAGGCTCTGGAAAAATATGAAATACCCCTTTTGAGTATAATCTTTAGGTAGTACTGAATCTGGAAATTCTATTTTCATTAGTGTTTTATGCTCTTGTGTTCATGAATATGCTTATTAATTTATGATCATGTCTCGATATGATATTTCACATGTCATAGGTTTATGTATTTTATTCTAATCCTTCGATGGTGCTCACATTTATGCAAATCTGGAAATTATATCCATGTGCAAATTTATTCCCTTAACAACTTAAATATGCCTAGAGCTACTTACGCCTATCTTCATATGTGAATATCTTGTGTTGTAACCTTATTTCCTTTTATTTGTACTATTTAGTTGTTCAAACTTGTGCAATAGATGTTGTTTCAAGAGCATGTCCTAACTCTAACTTAAATTATTTAACTCAAATGGGAAACGTAATGGGTGGTAATGGATTGCAAAATTTTGGACAAGATTACTAAGATATTGATTGGTTAATGGAATGCGTTCCCTATTTGGAAGTTAAAATCTTACGCAAGTGGTTTTCGGAACCCTTGAACGGAGTGATTGTATTCGGACCCTAGGAATTTGGTGTAAGGAGGGATTTGGGCAAGGCCCATTATTACCGTCTCTTTTGAGGCCCTGCGGTTGGTGCTACGTGGTACATAACCATTGGTAGGCATCCGAAGTTAGTTCTGCAACAAAGCAACAAAAGAGGGGGCATACCGAATAATCTGCGTCCGATTCTTGTGGTTGAGATGATGAAGTCTCTTTGGGGGATTTCTAGATTTCTAACATCTAACCTTGTAATCCTTTATTATTGAATGATTATCATGCCTCGTTACTTGCTTGTTATAATTGTGATGGTGTATTGGATTGGGAAAAAGGAATGGGGTGTGTGAGCGTTTACTGGGCATTCAAAGCTCATGGCGTTTCATGTCAAGTATCAAAGAAACGTATGAAGCCAACAAAGAGTCAAAAACATTTGAAGACTTAAGTTTTCCTTAAAGAAAGTTTGGAATCATTTTGCTCATTAGTCTAATTGTGCTTTTATTTATTCTTTTTGGAATGTAATAGTAATGGAACTCATGTTGTAAATTTAAAATTTGAGACGCTGTAATTATTATTTACTTTGTAATCCTATGCTTATCTCTACGTTGCTTATGAGACCTTGCGTCAATGCCTTTTAAGATCTATCAAAAGGGTGGTGCGCTACCTAAGAAAGATGGACTCAGAAGGGAGGCTAACTTGAGTCTTCCGGCGATCTGGGATCTTACTCTGTTATTGGCCATAGGACTCATTAGTATCGTTTCCTAGAATCCTAAGCTTAGATAAACCCTGTATTTAATTGATAATATATTCTCTGAAGTTCGCAATTTTTGGGGCGTCACATTACTATACCCTTCTAATATCGTTGGGTATCTAGTATAATGTACCCCATAATCCCGAGTGTAGCGTAGATAACCTAACACCAGCATAATGCCCCTCCAATGACTAGCATTCAGATTACTCGTGTATCTACTAAGCCTGCTAATAGTGTAGGCTATATCCGGCTTTGTACAACTCATCAGATACATCAAACTCCTAATGACTTGAAAATATTCTTGTTGAGAGACACTCTCACCGTTATTCTTGGTCAAGTGTAGACTCAAGTCTACCGATGTCCTAGACACATTTGTATTTGATTTACCAAATTTCTCAAGTATTTTCTCAACATAGTGAGATTGAGAAAGTACAATACCACCAGATGTTTTGATAATCTTAATACCCAGAATTACATCGGCAAAGCCCATATCTTTCATGTCAAACTTAGAGTTTAATAATCTTTTGGTAGTTCTAATCATTTCATCATTGCTACCAACAATGAGTAAGTCATCGACGTATAGACACAAAATGACATAGCCTCTGTCTACGTCTTTGACATATACACATTTGTCACACTCATTGATTTTAAAGCCATTTGACAACATAGCGTTGTCAAATTTCTCATGCCATTTCTTAGGAGCTTGCTTCAAACCATATAATCACTTGACAAGCTTACATATTTTCTTATTTTGCCCCCAGAGCTGAAAACCCCTTGGCTTGCTCTATGTAGATTTCTTCATCTAAATCTCCATTTAAGAAAACTGTCTTTACATCTATTTGATGTATCTCTAGACCACGTAAAGCGGCTATCGCTATCGCCATCACCATGCAAATGGATATAATCCTCATCACAGGTGAATACGTATCAAAGTAATCTAGGCCCTCTCGCTGCTTGTATCCTTTGATAACTAGCCTAGCTTTATACTTATCAATATACCCATCCGCTTTCATCTTTTTCTAAAGATCTATTTACTCCCCAAGGCCTTACTGCCTGGAAGTAGATCAACCAACTCCCAAGTATGGTTTTGTAAGATGGAGTCAATTTCACTCTTAATTGCTTCTTTCCATAAGGGACTTTCAAGTGAAATCACAGCTTCATGAAAAGTTCAAGGTTCTCCTTCTAACATATAAATCAAGAAGCCCGGACCAAAGGACTTGGCAGTCCTAGCCCTCTTACTCATTTTTGGCTCATCTACTTCCTCATCTTGATCATTTACTTGATCATCTTCAAGTTCTTTCTCAGAACTTTGATCCTCTCCTCGGTTTCAATAAGGAAATACATCCTCAAAAAAGGACGCATTCCTTGACTCCATTATGTATTCTTGTGTATATCTGAAATATTAGACATGTGGCCTTTTCATAATTCATATGGAGTCTTGTCTACTTTCTTCTGAGGTATTCTATTAAGAATGTAATTCGCAAAGAGAATTGTTCCCCCCCCCCACAAGTTCTATGGCAACCCAGAACTTATGAACATTGCATTCATCATTTCTTTTAACGTTCTATTCTTTTGCTTAGCAACACCATTCAACTGAGGGGAGTAAGGTGCTATGGTTTGGTGAGTAATCCCAATTGAGCACAAATCTCAACGAACGGAGATTCATACTCACCACTACGATCACTTCTTAAAGCCTTGATCTTTCAGCTTAGTTGATTCTCAACTTCATTATTGAAAAGAATAAATTTATCAATCGACTCGTCCTTGCTTTTAAGCAAATACACATAACAGTATTTAGTGCAATCATAAACAAAAGTGATGAAGTACTTGTTGCCACCATGTGATTGTACGAATTTCAAGTCACACACATCACTGTGCACTAAATCCAAAGGCTCGGTACTTCTTTCAACAGAATGAAAAAAAGTCCTTGTCAATTTTGCTTTTATACAAGTATCACACTTGTGATTTTGATTAATCTTGAAAGATGGTATGTGATCTAACTTGATTAATCTACGCAAAGTGTTAAAATTTACATGACCAAGTCTACCATGCCATAATTGAGGGAACTCAAGCATATACGCAAAAGAAAAAACTTTCTCATTAATCTTATAGATAATAGTTATTATATTGAGCTTAAACATACTGCTTGACAAATACCCTTTCCCAACATAGACCCCGCTCTTGGTCAACACGACCTTATCAAACTCAAACACCATGCGAAAACCATACTTGTTTAAGAGCAACCTCGAGACAAGGTTCTTATGAATGTCTGACACATATAGAACATTGTTCAGAGTCAACTCTTTTCCTGAAATCATCTTCAGGACCACCTTGTCTTTACCCTCAATAATTGAGGTAGCAAAATTCCTTATGAACAACTTCTCACCATTTGAAACCGGTTCGATAGTTGTGAACGTCTTATTCTCAGCATATATGTGGTGAGTGGCCCTAGTGTCCACCTATCATTCTTTTGTGTTGGACCCCATCATGTTCAATTCTGAGACGATAGCTGACAGATGCATGTCATCCACATCTTGTGACATATCCTCCATTCCAGCCTTGTGGGCATGACTCTTGCTCTGTGGAGGGTAATTCTTGTAGGATTTTGTCTTCTTACGACCGTCAACCACCCGATGCCCATCACTTCCACAGTTGAATCACTTTTCATTGAATCTAAAAGTAGGTTCTTATGGCTTGTAGACCGGCCTTTTGGAGACACTGTCTCTTGCCCCCAGCTTTGAACTTTTGCCTGTCAGTGGCTTTTTCTTTACCCCCAAGGATTGGCCATGCTCAACCACGTTTGCTTTCACAGTGGAGGTATTCTTTCCCTTTCTTCATCTTGTCTTCCTCAATCTAGAGCCTGACAACGAGCTCTTCGACAATCATCTCCTTTCGTTTATGCTTTAAATAGTTCTTGAAGTATTTTTAGCCGTTAGACAACTTTTCAATCAACACAGCAGCCTGGAATGATTCACTCAGGAACATTCCCTCTGCATGAATCTCGTGCAGAATTACTTGGAAATCTTGGACTGACGGTTTTTGAGTCCACCATTTTGAAGTCCAGAAACCGGCCAACAAAATTTTTTTTTCCCTCAGCATCCTCGGTCTTGTACTTCTTGTCTAAAGCATCCCACAGCTCCTTTAAAAAGTTCTTGGCATAAAACACGTTAAAAAGTGAATCTGTCAAACCATTCAGAACATAGTTCTGACAAAGGAAGTCTGACTGCTTTCCAAGCATCTAGAGCCATGAGTTTCTACTTGTCTTGCTCATTCTCTTCCATAGCTGGTGGGTCCTCACTAAAAAACCTTGCGAGGCTTAGAGTAGTTAGGTAGAACAGCATCTTCTGCTGCCACCTCTTAAAATTCACTCCAATGAACTTCTCTGGGTGCTCATGATGGTTGAGCGGGCCTCCCAAAACAGCAGGAGCAGCAAGGGTTAGCCACAAAGGTCATAACAACAGGGTAGACCACAGAGGTCACAGTAGCAGGGGTTGGCAAGCCAGTTGCCCCAGGGTTCTGATCCCTACCAACATTAGCAAGAACAGTAGCATCAATGGCAGTTGCTATTTCTGAAAAATACAACAGGATTCACTATTTTGTATTTCTAGAAATTAAACTTAACACTAGAAAATCCCAAGGTTGAAAATTTAATTCAAAACTAGTCTCACCACTTAATCTAGAATTGAATATGGTCATGAATGTTTCCAAGAAGACTGGAGAGGTCACACTAGTCCCACTTAAAACTCAATTAACCTTAGACAAAATTTTCAAGAGCATGTTAACTCCTAATCCATGGAAAACAATCTTTAGAATTACATTTTCCAAGGGATAAAATAGGTTAAACCAAACTAAGTTCCAAACTTACATGCAACTTTAAAAAGTGCTCACAACAATTACAAGCAAATAAAATGCTTCAACCTTACAGACAAACAAGCTTGCTTAAAAACGTAGGTAATTAACCACTACTAAACACAAGTAAAAAAATTGCTTCAAATATAAAAATATATAAACCAATCCAAATAGGATTCTTTTTGGTCCAAAACCTCTTTCCACGCTTAGGTATTTCTGTTCAACAAAAAGGTTAGTAGTCTAAATTTTTATTGAATTTGAATCTTGTTTTTTATTTATTTATTTATTTATTTATAATGTTAAGAATTAGACCAGAAACACAAACTGGAAGCAAACAAACATGAAACAATTAATTATTAAATAACTTGAATTGCAATAGTAGACTTCCCCCCCCCCTTTATGAATAACAGTAACCTTCTATATGCTATAGGCAGTCTACTTGAATAACAAAAGCTGTAGCATAAAAAATTAATAAGTTGGAACATCTCATGTGCAATATTCAAATGGAAAAATGCTTAATCATGATCTTTAAGTTAATGGGAAAGAATACTGTTTCGGTTTCCAAAAAGCAATAGCAATCAGTTTTTTTTTTTTTTTTTTTTTTCAATCACTTAGAAGAAACCAATTTCCAGAATAACATGTAATAATTCAAAATTATTAACCGAAGCAGAGAAAGCTCCTACATTGCATATGAATTTATTTATCCGATTTCATGGAAACTATAGAATTTGTTTTAAGATTGTTGTCTAAATTGTAAAATAAAATAAAATAAATAAATTCATATTTGATAAATTAAATTACAGAACAGAAATACATATGAAATAGAAATATTGAAAGACAAGGAATCAAATCGAAGCTTGTGTAGTACCACAGTCTCCTTAAAACAGATTTGCCATCTCACCATGGGTGCTGAAGGTACGTTAGCGTCTGTCTCCTAAGATACGATGGCTTAAACTTGCTAACATAGAAGCACCTTCAGTTAGAACCGACAATAGCAGCACTCTCTCACATAGGAAGAAGATTATAGGTGCAGACTGACTGCATAATGGAAGCCAAAAAAATTCTATCTTGACAACCAAAGAAGTTCATCTCTATTTATACACCATGGGGGAGAGAGGAGAACCCTCCACCCATGAAGGCTAGCAACCAATGAAGCCCATTAATCCTGCAAAATTGGTGGAGTAATGCACAAAACTGATGTGGATTTAATGTGTGAGTTACACACAATATACACATGTGTATATATACATATCTGCAACCACTTAGCAGACTTGGCCCAAAAAGATTGGGTTGGTGGACCACCAATTTGGCCCAGCCCAAACCTAACCCATTCCAGCAAGTCTCAAGCCCAAGCCCAAAATCCACGACTCATGACCCACGAATCATGAACCGGTCTAGTTTGGGCAAGTGGACGGGCAACGCACGCGTTGACAATTTTTCCATAACCAACTTGGACTATAGTTTTGACCCAAGCCCATCCTTGAAGCATCCATAACTCACTTCCTTCGAAAAATTTGGATGTCCCAAAGGGCTCGTGCCCTTATCAAAATCTTGAGGTTTAAAAACCCATCAAGGTTTTCCTCTACAATCAATGTGGGATTGGTAGTTATACACAATTCTCAATACCTCATTCATGAGGCCAACTTTATGAGACAATTTCTCATTCAATTCTTAATAATTTTTTGTTATTCTTTTTGTGGTGTAAAGATCTTGTTACAAAGAAGCTAAACCCATTTAATCTCACCTCAACTAATGATTCGGACCTACTTTAATTGCACATTTAAGTCACTATAAAAGCATTTTTTCTAATACTCTTGACTCACTTTTATAAAGTGTATCATGCCTCCAAACTTTCAATAGTCTTTTTTTAGTCAACGGAGAATAATAGTGTATGTCTCGTGGTACAAAGTAGATTATAGCTTAGTGTTTGCTCCGATGGTGGGTTGCAATTTCAATTATAATACCAATTTTCAAACCCAAACTAAACTTGTTGAGCTTAAAATTAACACATCCCATAACTGCTACAATTTTGGAGTGATCCAAACGAGAGAGGGTAAATTATCAATAAATCATAATAGTTAGATTTAATTTTTATCAAATTTTATTAAAAATAAATCACAGTAAAATCGTCGCTAAAAATAATTTTTTATGACAATTTTTTGTGTATCGCTAAAAAATGACAATTAATGACTTTTTTTTGTCACGATTTTTATAAATTGTCACTAAAACTTACAATTCTACGACGAATTTTGTAAATTGTCATTGAAAATTGAAAATTAGTGACTTTTTTTGTGATGAATTTTTTTTTTTAAATTGTCACTAAAACTTATAATTAGTGACATTTTTTGTGATAAAATTTTAAAATTGTCGTTGAAAATTAACAATTAATGATATTTTTTAATAGTGTTTGATGAAAAACGTTATTAATTATCATACGAACTATTGGACAATAAGTTCACTTATTAGGACCTACACGTAAGTCCCTGAAGAGGAGAAAGGGGGGATCATGGATTTGGAAAGATAAAAGGAAAAGTTTCACGTACTTTTTCTTTTTTCCTTTTCAAAGCCTTACCCGAATCCATGAAACAAAAACCACCTAAGGCTGTATTTGGTTGGAGGATTTGATGAGAGAAATGGAAAAGGGAAAGGAAATGTAATTCGAGTCAAGATCCTTTAGAGTATTTTTTTTTTCTTAGTGTGATTGTAGAGTAATGTTTTAAAAATTGGACGAGTGAGCAAACTAGAAAAGAGATTGGGTGAACGAGTCACCAGTTCAACTCGACAGTTGAACCGAAATCCAACCATGACGTCATAAATATATTAAAATTTATATTTAAATAAAAATATAAGTAATAAAATTATAAATTAAAAATATTAAATTACCTTAAATATTTGTCCTAATATTTTTTTACTGAAAAATATAATAATATATTTTAAAATATTATTAATTTTAATTTTGGAAGAGGAAATCAAATATTTAATATTCCCTCCATATGATTTTAATTCAAATAATTTATTTGAAAGAAGAGAAAAATTTTTGAAGGGATATCAAAATTTCAATATTCTCTCCAATACATTTGATTGAATCCCACAAGGATTTCTTGAGTTTTTTTGAAATAATTTTTTTCTTATAAATAGGTGGAGAATTTCACAATAATTTCAAGCTCCTAAATGGGATTCCTCACAAGAGGAGACCCTTGAAAGAGAGTTTCCAATTAAAATTTTCTTATACTCTTATATATTATATATGTGTATATATATATAATAAGAAAGAAAGAAAGAAAATAAAGAAGAAGAAAAAAAAAAGTTAGCAGAAATCAAAAAAGAAAAAAAAATTCCAAACCCATCAACCCAATGAATCGGCTCCAAGTCGACCGGTTCACCGATTCAACTGCCAATTTTACTGGTTCTCTCTAAATAGGCCAGTTTTTAACTTCGAACAGTTTAGAGGGTATATCCGGACCGGACC